CAAAAAACTTTGAATCCTATGTTTGAAAGTATCCCACTTTTGGACTATTGGTAAATGGTACCCCAAAGGTACATGGAGTAGCAAGTCTGCCCTGGGCCACAGGTGGGCATGCTGCAAATTTCCCAAGCCATCTGATAACTTCAGAACACAAGTCCATGTCTCAGCCTTGTGCCTAAGGATTGTGCATATATTAGCATTGCAGGATTTTCATACAACTGGTCCCTGTAAAGTGTTAGAATTTCTCTTGCTCCATTCCCTTCCTCCTTCTATCCCCTGTATTTAAATTGTCTGTTTACTCTTTTGATTCGTACCCATTTCTTAACCATAATAGATGGCTAATGAATTGTTGTGTCCCTGCATGTATTACCCTCGAGTTGGGTGGTATTACCACACTTAGACTACATAAAATATGAAAGCATAATATTACTCAATAGTGACATATTCAAGATGCAAGCAATTTATTGATCAAAGCAGATATTCGTGATGAAATTTATAAGTTAAACTTTTCTATCCAACACCACAAAAAAAAACCTAAATTTGAACTAAACTAAAATACAAAACATTAGTATTATCCACAAATATCTTAAATGATTATCGCACATTAAACTTTTTTTGTTTTTCTAAAACAGTATTTGAAGTTTGCTGCTTTTGAGGAAACTATGAATGTGTTTGTTAAGGAATGCAAAAACAAGGGAAAGGCAATCCCAAAACCACCAATGAATGCTGGCCAGGACATTAAGACTTCACACATTCAGGTAAATCTTGTGTGTTCTTTGGATCACAACCTGAGACTCTTTAAGTAATCTGTACTACCATAATTGTTACTTCTGATAGTGACACTGTGGTATTGTTATGATTTGGTCTTTCTGGTGCAAAGAATCACTTGTGACAGGCTGCTTGTTTGATCAGATACAGTTTCAGTGAGATTACACCAAAATTCAATTTTTCAAGTATAATAGTCTGCTGAATAACTTCCTGAATGAATTTCTAGCTCCACAAATAAAGTGCCATACTTTCTCTGTGATCGAAGGAGTATTTCCCCCTGGAATATCTGTTATCTGGATTTTTCCTGATTCAACTTGACAAATTTCAGCCAGCCACCATCAGAACTTTTAAACTATATTTTCTAATTAATCCATTTATTCATTCATGGGATGAGGATGTCTCTGGCTAGGCACCATTTACTGTCCATCCCTAATTGCCCAGAGGGCAGTTAAGAGTCAACCACATTGCTGTGGGTCTGGAGTCACATGTCGGTCAGACTAGGTAAGGATAGCAGTTTCCTTCCCTAAAGGACATTAGTGAACCAGATGGGTTTTTCCTGACAATCGATTTGTGGTCGTCGTTAGATTGTTAATTCTAGATATTCATTGAATTCAAATTCCACCATCTGCTATGACGGGATTCGAACCCGGGTCTCCAGAACATTACCTGGGTCTCTGGATTAACAGTCCAGCGATAATACCATTAGGCCATCGCCTCCCCCATTGGGTTAGTCCTGAGTCTGTGCTCAGCTAGCTGATTTCAAGCATAATATCCATAGGGATTTTATAATTGGCTGACCACCGTAAAGGTTGTCATAAGCATGTTGCAAAGCACCTCATTGCCAGAGCTTTTAAACAGAAAGCAAAATGTAGCCGAGTTCTGAGGAAGGGTCACTGGACCTGAAACGTTAACTCTGATTTTTTCTTCACAGATGCTACCAGACCTGCTGAGCTTTTCCAGCAACTTTTGTTTTTGTTCCTGATTTACAGCATTTGCAGTTCTTTCAGAAGCACCACCCCAAGGTGGTTGTAGTGAGGTAAAGACAGTTACCTTCTTCCGCAATGTCTGTTTGCAAAGAGATGCAGTGATTTTACTGAAACTTTATGAAAACACTCTCATCTACATACTGTTCCCAGGGACATGCTAAGCCAAACATCTGCTGGAGTAAGGAAGTTAACTTAATGAAAGACATACTTCCTAAACTTGTTGGCCTTCCAGTGTAAGGAACCGATTATGACCAAATCGTGCAAACCTTCACATTCCAAGGTCCAGCAATAAGTGCTGAGGGATGCACTGAAGCTATCAAAAAGGATAAGTGAGGAATAATCTCCGATTATGGATCTCCTGCCAGTGTAGCTCTAATCAATGTGATATCCCTCAGGTTGTATGCATCAGAAAATCTTTAAATAAATTTTAGATCTAGATGCAATCTACAATGTATGTGGACCGAGGCACTCTCAAGTATCGGTCCCACTTGCCTGCGTTTGGTAAATATCCTTCTAAGCCTTTCCTATTCATGTACCCGTCCAAATGTCTTTTAAATGTTGTAACTGTATCTGCATGTACCACTTCCTCTGGCAGTTCATTCCAGAAATGAATCACCCTCTGTGTGAAAGAGGTGTCCCTCAGGTCCATTTTAAATCTTTCTCTTTTCACCTTAAAAATATGCCCTCTGGTTTTGAACTCCTATATGCTGGGCCAATACCTTAGTGATTCACCTTATCTATACCTCTCATGATTTTATAAACCTCTATAAGGCCACCTTTCAACCTCTTACACACGGGTGAAAACAAAGTCACAGCATATCCGGCCTCTCTTTATAACTCAAACCCTCCAGGCCCGGCAACATCCTGGTAAATCATTTCTGAACCCTCTACAATTTAATAATATCCTTCTGATAGCAGGGTGACCAGAACTGCACACGTACTCCAAAAGTGGCCTCACCAACATCCTGTACAACCTCAACACGGCATCCCAACTCCAATACTCAATGGTCTGAGCAATGAAGACAAGCGTGCTAACTTCCTTCTGAACCACCCTGTCTGCCTGCGATGCAACTTTCAAGAACTATGTACCTGAACCCCAGGTCTCTTTGTTCAACAACACTACGAAAACAAAACGGTGATGGCAGAGTAGGAAGTGTTTGAGCTCTGCACCAGAATGTTGCTGCTGTCACTCCAGCTCACCTGCCCGATCACATTCTTCTTTTTTTTTTTGTTTTGTCTCTTCATTTCTCTTTTGTATCAAAGACCACCTTTTCTTCTTTTCTGCGGCTGCGACGGAGGAAGGCAGTTGTGAGGGCCTGCTGCAGTGGTGGCAGCATGGCGGGTCCGGTCCGGAAATCAGAGCATCCTGTAGCCACTCCATAAACCCAGATTCCCTTGGAGGGAACAAAGGATGAACTTTGTCCTAACGTTTTCTCAATTGTTTTTTTTTGTAATTTCTGTAATTAAAATGGTGCTGAATTGTGACGACTAATACACATCTGACTGCATTTTCATAAATATTGTGGCAATAAATTGTTATTCTACTCTATTCTACCCAGGGCCTTGCCATTAACTGTATAAATCCTGCCCTTGTTTGATTTTTACAAATTGGGAAATCATGCTTGAAAAATCTACTGGAATTTTTCAAGGGTGTAATGAATAGTTGATCAGGTGGATCCAATGGTTATGATTTATTTGTACTTTCAAAAGGCTTTTGACAAAATCGCACATAAAAGATTGATGTGTAAAATTAAAGTGAATGGATAGGGGGTACTGTATTGAGATGGAAAGAAAAGTGGTTAGCAAACAGGAAACAAAGAGTAGGAATAAATGGTTCTTTTTCTGAACAGCAGGCCATGACCAGTCAGGTACCACAGGGTTCGGTACTAGGATCGCAGGTATTCGCAATGATTTAGTTGAGGGAACTAAATGTAATGTCTAAAAGTTTGCAGATGACCCAACTGGGTAGAAGACTAAGATCTGAGGAGAATGCAGAGATGTTGCAGTTTGATTTGGACAGGCTGAGTGAGAGGGCAAATGCATGGCACATGCAGTATAATGTGCATAAATATGAGGCTACCTGTTTTGATGTCAAAAAATGCAGGCAGATTACTATTGGCTGTAAATTAAGAGAGGGAAATGTTCCATGAGACCTGAGCATCTTCACGCACCATTCACTGAAAGTAAGCAAGCAGTAAAGAAGGCAAACTGTATGTTGGCATTCATAGCGAAAGGATTTGAGTACAGGAGCAAGAATGTCTTGCTGCACTTATACTGGGCATTGGTGAGGCAACACCTGGAATATTATGTGCAGTTTTGATCTCCTTATCTGAGGAAGGATGCTCTTGCTATAGAGAGGGTGCAGCAAAGGTTGACTAAATTGATTCCTGTGATGGCAGGACTTGCATAAGAAAAGATTGAGTCAGTTAAGATTGTTTTCACTGGAGTTTAGAAGAATGAGGGGTTGGGGGGGCGGTGGAATCTCATTGAATCCTGTGAAATTCTAATGGGACTAGACAGGTTAAATGCAGGAAGGATGTTCCCAATGGTAGGGGAGTCCAGAACCAGGTGTCATAGTTTAGGATAAGGGGCAAACCTTTTAGAAATGTGATGAGGAGAAATTTCTTCACCTGGACAATGGTGAGCCTGTGGACTTCGCTGTCACAGAAGGTGGTTAAGGCCAAAGCATTGTGTTTTCAAGAAAGACGTAGCTATAGATCTTGTGGCTAAAGGGATCACGGGATATAGGGAGAGGTTGGAATTAGGGTATTGAGCTCAATGATCAGCAATGATCTTATTGAATGGCAAAGCGGGCTTGAGAGGTTTCATGGCCTACTCCTATCTTCTATGGTTCTTTGTTATTTTAAAATGTATGAATGCAGTATGTTATTGGAGAAAGTAATCTTTGCAGGCAATTTTCACAGTACCTCTCTTTTTAAGATGGGATCAAAGGACTGTAGATTTTAGGAATATAGTAACTTGATCTTGAAAACGTTAGTTTCAGTAATACACCACAATATTTTTATAGAATGTGGATAGAAATATCTTTTTGTTTATTTTCAACAGGAAGGTTTGCTTAAAGCGTTTGAGGATGGAAACAGAAAGGTATTTTTAAACTTGTGGGAACAGCACATTTTACCTCAAACTGGAGTTGATGAGCAGCTGCCTCAGAAATTGGAATTTCACCTTCAAATTCATTTTGCCATCTTTCCTCTAAAGAATTCTAGAAAACCTGTAAGTTACAAAGAAATGTGAATCTTCGTTAAATATGTGCTAATAAATTGAGTGAAATTTATACCAAAAATCCCCTTCATCTTTGATTAATGTATTTAGCATTACTTCAATTTTTGACATGCTTTTAAAGAAAATAGCATTTATATATTATTAATATTTTAACAGCAGAAACCAATATCTTATCACATTTTAAAGACATTTAGACAATTGATTTATGAAGGTTTATTTTCAAATGCTATCAAAGGTATCAGGATCTTGTTGCAAGGTCTCTATCTCTCTATCTCTCTACCTCTCTACCTATCTATCTATCTCTCTTTCCATTAGAGCACTGTATTGGCACCTATTCTAAAGAAATGTCTTGTGCATTTGAGAATGGTACAGTAATACACAAAATACATGGGACGGGGGCAAGAGCAAAGTCTGGGTGTTGAAGTTAGGTGGTTCGGGAATAGGAGGCAATGGCCCAGGAAGTAGCTATGTTTCAGTGTTATGCCGTGCTAGGAATGAGTGTGGAGAGTGCCTTTTTGTTCTTGGTGTAGGGATTTTGGGAGAGAGAGGGAGACTTTAAGTGGGGACGTGAGTGAGGCAGATTTCAAGGGAGCAGAGGGATGACAATGCAGCAAAGAGAGTGCAGTTTCAAATCTGTAACTAAAGGAGCATTTAGCTAACTCAGAGCTAGAAAAACTTGAAATCACAAACGTAATGCATTACTTGCAAATGAATATGGTATCTTTAGCTTAAGATTCCTTATGTTAGAAGCTACTGTAAAGGGAAGTCATGAGCAAGTGCCAGTTTTTAAATTGAGTTCTGAGGTGCAGTTAGAAGGGTAATAACTGTTTGAAATATTCCAGTTTTGTGAAAATGCAATAGAAACTTTCAACTGTGATCTCACTAGTCGATGAAAGACATATTTCGCAGGATAGAAGTATGTTTCGGTTATATTGAAAAAACAACTTAAGCTGACTTATACCTGTTATATTGTAGCAATTTAAACACTGTGGTATCTAGGAAATGAACACTTCTTTGTGTTGTGGTTTTAAGTTTAGTAGGATTGATACTTATTGACGATATTGATGAATTCTTCTGATTCTGCCTCTTTGAGACCCAATTACTCCAAGTGTCAACACAAATAAAAAGGTAATGTTACTCTGTGACTGCATCACCTAATATAGGAGTTATTGAAAATGAGAAAGCAGTCCCTGCGATCCTAAAAGGGGTGGTTGGGGGTGTGTGTGTGTGCATATGTGTGTTTGTGTGCGTGCGTACGCGTGCGCGCACAATTAATCTGTGGTTCTATCCACAGTTCATCACTGAACTTAGGATCATAGATATAACTACAGTTACTGCTACATATTAGATATTTTTAAATACTTATTGTATTGACAGTAAAGAAAGTAAGTTGACAGATGAAGTTATTAATAAAATCCAACTTTCTCTCAGGACAGCAATTTTCTGAGTACAGTGTGCAGTGCACTGGTCTGGCTGCTGCCCCAGTGTTTTAAAAAATGTAACCAGCAGATGGTGGTGTCTTTCCACTCTTTTTTTAAAGTGCCATATTTATCACAAAAATGAGTTTATCACAGTTTCCTCACCATTGCTTGCAAGCAGGTAGCTTAACAATATGAAATGTTTACGTAACAATTTCCTGCTAGTTCGAGGCAAGGTAGACAAATCCGGAAGCCTTAAGTTCAATGCATGCAAGTTTGTGTTGCATTAACTTTATCTTAGGTAGTGTAACAATCAAAGAAAGTGATCACTTTCATGATTACTATTTCTTCTATAATCACACCTGAGCAAGAGAGGGGGAAAGAGAAATTAGGAAGTATCTTAAGACAGTGGTATCCAAAATGTAAGAAGGTGGAAGCATTTTCAACTACCCTCAGCCAGAGGTGCTGAGTGGATGATCCTTCCCAATATCACAGATACCATTTTTCGGCCAACTTGAATAACTCCAAGTGATATAAAGAAATTGCTGAGCACACTGGATATAATGAGGGCTTATGGATTTTGGTGTAGTGTTGAAGACCTGTGCTCGAGGATTATTGCACCTTTTACCAACAGCAACAACACTGACTGCTGCCCCATAAAGTTGAAAAGTGACTAGGTATGTCCTAGATTGAACATTACAATCCAATCTGGCCTATTACCACCTCATTTTCCTACTTCAAGTCATTGTGGAAGTGATAGATGGTGACATAAGTTGCTTGCCAGTGTTCAGTTGGTTCTACTTATGTTCCACTTGGTTTCAGATCTATTGCAACTTTGATCCAAGCATGGAAAAGAGAGCTTAATTCCTGACGTAACAGCCCTTGACATTGATGTAACATTTTTGAGTTTTGTTGCAATGAACCGTAGAAAAATTAAACTCAATGCGGATTAGGGACAAACTCTCCACTAATTAATGTCTAGCCCAAATAGAAATGGATATGATTGTCGAGACCAATGATTTCAGACCAGGATTTCACTGCATGAGATTTTTAACCTTGTGTTCAAGGCCCAAGTCTCCTAAGCTGCTTTATCAGTGATCTTCTCTCTATCTTAGGATCAGTAGTGAAGATGTTCACTAATGATGCACAGTGTACAGTTCCATTCAAATTTCTTTCATAACAAGGCAGTCTGTGCCCACATACAGGAAGATATGAACCAGGCCTGGAAATAACATTTGCGCCACACAAGTGAGATGCAATGACCGCCACGACAAAAGAGATTCCAACCATCTTCCCTTGATATTCAAAGCCATTACCATCATTGTATCTGCTATGAACAATGTTGTTGGTGACTGAAATCACCAAAAAATCAACTGAAGCAGATGCAAAAATACTGTGGCCGCAAGAATTGATCAAAGGCTGCGGGTGATTTATCCCCTGACTCCTCAAAGCTTCTTTACCATCTATAAGATACAATTTAGGAGTGAGCTGGAATACTCTCCCCTGCCTAAATGAATGCACCTCCAACAACACTCAATCTCTTCATCATCCAAGATAAGCAGCCAGCTTGATCAACACCCTATCAATTACCTTCATTACTGGTGCAGTAGTCTGCCTTGTACATCGTCAAGAAAAATTCAGTGTAGCTTCTCGCCCAAAGTTTCTTTGACATTACCTCTAAAACTCGTGCCGTCCATCACTTAGAACTATGATTTCCAACACATTCAATCATATTGACAGATTGATCGTAGAGTCTCTCACAATTGATCTCATTGCTCACCCATGTTCCCTCAATATGCGTGTCTGACAATTGATGTCACCACTTCCCTGCGTTCCCTTACTGCACACATGTTGATCATCATGCCATTGCATGATCTCCATATCTGGAAGCTACATGGCTAGAAGAAAGTAGGTACTCTTAACGGGCTTTGCCAACTTGTTGCATTGGATGTCAGCTTGGTCAAGTTGAACCATCATTGCAGGGTAATGTAAGTTTCGTGGGAGCAATGCAAACAAATGAATAATAAATATATTATGAACTAATGTGTGAAGCCAGTATATTACATTGCTAAAATGTAGGCAGCTGTTCAGCCCATCATGTCTATACGGACTCTCTGCAAGAGCAGCTCAGCTAGTCCCTCTCCTCTGCCCATATGCTGTAGAACTGCGGTTTTTTTCCATCAGCTATTTATGTAATGGGATTAGGGTGAGATCAGTTGTCAGACACGCATCCTGAAGAAATGCAGGCAGATAGTGATATGAAATGTCAGAGGCTCTACGATTGATCTGTCAATTAATATCAGAGCAACACAAGCCAACCAGAGGCCGTGGAAACAAATGGTGGTGACCTCCTATATCTCCACACTTGAGAGCAGCTGGCAGCATTCTGGTTTACCAGAAGCGTGGATCCAAAAGCGTACCAGCATAATGACCATTAGCAAGTGACGCTATGAATAGCAAGGTGAAGCAATAATGATGATTGATGAGCCTAGACCATCTAAAAAAAAGCCTAAAATATGGAATGTGAAAATGAAGTTCTGCTCAAAATTATAAAAGATAGAAGCATTTGACTTATGTGTTACCAAAGTATCTTGATAAGTGAAAAGGGAAATTTGGAATGCCACTACACAACAATGCATGATAAATTCAAGGTGAGCTATCCCTTGAGAAGGATGCTTTAGACAAAGAAAATTGACAAGCTGAAGGGCATTTCTAAAGTTAAACAATTTATTTTTTCCTAAATAAACAGCAAAAGGCAAGGTCTGCACTGAAACACCATTTCGCATTATGGCAAAAAACAAAAGCACATTCACAGATGGCAAAGTAATCAAAGAAGCAATGACTGTGACCTCTTACTCTTTATTCATTGACAAGAAGAAATAATATCAGCAATCCAGAGCATATCACTTGGTGCTAGCGCAGTAACAAGATGAATGGAATCTGTGTCTGAAGGTGACTTTTGGCAAATACAGCACAATATGAAGGACTGTGGATGCTTCTCACTGCAGTTTGATGAATGCATCGCCATGACACAGTCTAGCTAATTGTTTTTGTGCACATGGTTTTTAAGGACGTAACAACTAAGGAGAATTTTCTCACCCAGCATCAAATTCAAAAAGATATGTGCTTGAGAAAAATATTCCAGTCAAGAAGCAGGTTTCCACCACAGCACATGGGGAACCAGCCATGCTTGGTACTAATGTTGGCTTTGTGCATTTTGAAGAAATGATTCTGATTTCTCCTATTTTGTCACTCACCACTGTATAATCCACAGCAAGCATCAGTGACTAAAGTTATGGATTTTTCTCCTGTAATGAAGTCGTTGTTAAGATTGTGAACTTGAGTTGAGCAAAAACCCTTCGATACCACTTGTTTAAAATCTTATTTGATGAACTCAATGCTGCCTGTGGTGATAGGAGGTGGTTAATTTGAGGGAAGGACCTGCAAATCTGATGCTTTAAATTAAGGAATGAAGTTTGCAGTGAGCTGTCAGACAGTGCATCGTTGCTCAACTTTGGGTTCCTTACAGCCATAACATCGAAACTGTCAAGATGAACTGTGAACTGAAGGAAA